TGTCATGCCAGATAATACAACTGTACAATATTACAGAAAAAATATACCTTAAAATGAAAAGGGATTAATAATTTAAAAGTGTGATAGAAAAGGCAGAATACTGCCTATGGGAATTTGCTAAGTAAGCATAAAGTTTCCCTGTTTGGTATCTTCAGATTTGATACCAAAGAGTTTTATATTTGTCCGATACAGATAGTAATGGAAGAACTCTTTTTTCTAACTTAGGTTGATACACACTGATAATGCATTTTATATGTAATATGTAATTTTGTTGATAGTTTTTATGTTTGATCACTAGATTAAGTGAAAAGATAAATTTAAATCATTGTTTCAGTAGATCAACTTTTATCTCTCTCCATTATTAACCTGTCTGATTTGTATAGGAGTGTTTCTTAATTGAGTTATTTTTAAGTTTGTCTTTCCTTGTGTTCACTTCAAGACTGTGATTCACTAAAGATAGAGCTAACCCCAAACATTAGTTCCACGGATAGAGCTAACCCCAAACTTTAGTTCCACGAGTTATATATATCTATGCATTTCAATCACAATTCCTCTGATAGTATTACTTTTTTTCCCCTGTGGCTTAGCAGAGTCCCTTGGTATTCTACCTGCTGGAACAAGTGAGGTACATTAGAAAACTTGATGATTGATCAATAAGTATTCTGCTTTTTCTATAACAATATTCAATTATTTATAGTATCTCCTTTTACTCAGAAAGGATATTTCCCCCATAATAATCTCACAATATACTATCTGACATAATATATCATATAAGTATTGTTCTGCATTTGGGATTCCAAGATGTCTATAAGAAGTCAATATTTTCATTCTTCTAAAGAGACACATGTCTTCTACTCAGACCTATTTATTTCAATCTTGCATCTCCTGCTCACATGAACCTAGACAATAATGAGCCCTAATCTTGCTAGCCTGACTCACAAAAGGCAATGGAACTATTTGTGGTTAAGGTCCTATTCATGTCCCTAAGATTCATGTTGCTTTCTTTGATTACATTGATGTGCCCAATGATACAGAATTTAAATTTTCCTTCAAAGAGAAACTATTGCTTCTCAATTTCATACATGTACATGGGCTTTTCATTCAAACCTGAAAAAAAATCTTTATTTTAGATTAAGATTGTGAGAAAATAAAAAATTGTACACTATAGAGAGCTAAACATTTACAATAAAATAAATTTGCTCCTATTGATTTTGTAAAGCTATTTCTATGCTGTAGGAATATTGATTTATTGTTTAAGACATCCCAATACCAGTCACTTGCTGATAGGGTTTAATGTTCTGTTCCTATGAGGAAGAAAATAATTGCAGCAGAGATTTCAAAATAAAGTTATATGATCTACTACGTAACCTTAAAATAATTTCATAATACCTAGCACCAACCTCCTTCCTTTTGTGCTAGGTACTGAATTGCTAACTTGCTTAGCACATCTAATTCTTCTACATAATAGTTTCATTTCTGGAGGAAAATAACAGCTGGTATTATAAAGTACATATTTGTGAACATGGAGTGCACTATTCCATTCATATATTTTCATGAGGAAAGTGGAAGAAAAGATCAGTATGACTTCCACACATAAACCTTTGATTGGGTGAAAATACATTGATAGCATCATCATACGGATGAAAGGTTAAGAGTCACTTTATGAATTCACAGCAATTGTTCAAAACCACACAACCTTCTCAAAAATTTACACGCCTTGATGCCACTTCCACTCTTTTTCACCTTTTTCTGAATGTTCTTTTATGTAGTCATAAACACAAAACAAACAGGTCTGTACAGCAAACCATCAGATACTCAGTTGTACCTTACTTAGGCTTCATGCCATCCCCACCACACCAAATAGTTATATATAGCCAAGCTCTAAGAATTAGATAAGTTTCCAACAAGCACCAGGACAGCTAAGCAGGCACAGGTTACACCTTAAATGTTACATGACAGGAAATCAACATACATTCTGAATTGCCCAGAAGAGCACTTGTAATGGGAAACTATCAATATGCAACATAGTAAATTTGCTGTGGATTTACATCCTGCTGTTCCTTTATATATATACCTATATATATATATATATATACACACACACACAATCAAAGCCTACCTTGTAATACCTAATTAGAGATGAGATTCAAAAGATCATTTCAAAGCTGCCTCTGATTTCCTACTACCAAATACCAAAGTGACTGGAGATGATTGATGATACCAGTCCACAGTGTATCAGTGACACCACATCGTGAAGTACCTGAATTTCAAGGAAGCTCAAATCATAGGCAGGTGCACCCTCATCTGAATGCCGTAAGATCCCCCCAAATAAGCCCTGAATGTTAATGGTGCTACTAATCTCTAGACTGACCCACTATCAATCATCAGCCAAGAGTTCCAAAGGGCCTCTAGAGTCAGTTCAGATCCCTTGTTGGCTCTCAGGGCTCAGTTTAGAAATTTGTCCACAAAGTGTGGAAATGCTATTATTAATCCCAGGCACACACTTAGCAATAAAGATGTTATAAATTAAACAGCACAACACAAAGGCCCTGTTTTCTGCTTAAGCCCCAGTGTGATTCACAAACCAGGTAAAAAGAAGAGCTCCCCTGCCTATCTTGCCTATGGGGGCCCAACCCAATAGACGTGCTCAGACCATGCCTACAAGATGAGGCTAGATTTTGAATGGGACCCAAATGTCTCCTGTTGAAACTGTTCCACTTTGGACAAACACATTGTGGATCCCAACCTCGGTGTGCTATATGTTCTATAACATGACTTTGAGTACATTGATTCCCGTATTCATATCCACACACACTCACTCCTTCAGTTCACAGTGCTGAAGGTACAGGACTGACTTGTGACCTAGGGATTAGATGAAAGCTAGGTTTCCACCCCCATATACAGAACAAAGAGATAATATCTTACAGTGGAGGCGGGGGCACTTGCAATTTGGCTCTAAAATTAAAGAAGGCCCCCATATGTAACAAAAAATCATGGCATAGGCGGCATGAAAAAAAACCCCATAACTTGTTGATGAGATTTAAGTAGCTGACAGAGACTATGCTGAAGTTGCTGATTTTTTTAACTTTACTGTATATTGTACTGTACATTCCAATCTCCTCAGAGTTCTAATCAGAATCCTTAGCATAATATTAAACTTGTAACATACCATAGAATGTTACCATGCAGATCATGGGAGATGTACAAGAATTTATGCTTATTTTCTTTCAAACAATCAACATGTCTGGCCCATTTTACGTTCTCAAGCTTCATTAGCAACAGTGCTTTAATATTATTTTTTTTTTTCAGATTAACTCTAATCTGTTGCACACTCATGGTCTGGGAATATGCACTTTATTGATGGTGCTTTTATATATGGAGCAAAATTGTTTTTGTGTGTGTGTTTTTCCATATGTGTAAGCCAGCGGTCTGAAAGAGCTGTCTCTTGTCATCTATTGATAAATTGGGGAAAAAGACCTCAGGAGCAGTTAGAGCCCTGCAAATCTGTGGATATCCACTTCATATCCACAAATATCCATGGACTATGTCTGCATAGCATGGATCGGATGCAGATACAAATTTTGTATCCACACAGGGCTCTATAAACCATACTCCCATGGACTACTTTGCTAAGGTGATCACAGACCTGCTTTGCCAGGTTAATCAACATTGATTCACTTGTCTTGGCTGCAGGGGTAATGAAATGTTTCGATCCTTATTGTATGACTACAGGGCAATAGAACTGTACTTAATATGCCCTAATTGAGGAGTCACCCTAATTTGAAATGTCACTTACTGAGTGTGGAGTATCAAAGTGAAAATCAGAGGAGGTGGGAACAGGTGTTCCAACTTCATGGTGAGGATTCTGTTTTAAGACTTCTAGATGCTATTTGACCCTCTCACTCCAGTATTTAAAGACAGAACTGATTAGACTCAGTTGAGACCTTTTGTCCCTTCTCAGAAATCACCAGAGCTGAAATCACTGCTGTGTTTGTCTAGAGATCTGAGTCTTAGGCCTGGTGTAGAGACAGTGTTCCAGTGAAAGATAACACAGTGAATGTACATTCTAAAAGTTTAGATGTGAACTGTGAAAGGCATATATTTTATCTTATATTTAAACATTTTCTTTATTGACTGTAAGTCAGTACCTTTCATACTAGAACTACGTCTGAAGATATGATCTTCAGCCTAAAGGCTGGCATGAAAGTGGAGAATACTGTGGGTTTGTCATTAGTAAGCCTTCAGAAATGCAAGGAAAGCCTGTTTCATTATAAAGTCTCATTATAAGGCTCTGTAACACCATTTTAGTGCAGTGATTTCCTTGGTTTCAAAATAATTAAATCACTTTTGATTCCTTTACCGATTTTAAAGGTACAAAAGTAATATTCTTAAAATGTTCACCACAAAGACTGCTCCAATTTTCATTGCTTTCTAATTTCTCCACTTTAAATGAAATGATTCCTGGCAAATATAATCCTTATAATGAGGCAAGGCAGCAAAACATCAGTTTATTTTCTCAATTAACAAGTAATTTTATCTTCATAAAATTAAGTATTGTAAAAATGGTGATAACATTTTATTAGCCCCATAAGTGAAAAATAGAAAATAAAGATTTGTAAGTGGTACCTTTTAAAGGGGGAGGAACACATCTTGAGGGTTTTAGGGCAAAGAATTCTCAAAGAATACTCAGTGGAATACCAAACATCATTTTCCAGACTTATGTGATATTTATTAGCATAAATTTAGGTGCATTTCAAGACTCAGTTGTTGGAAATGAGTCATTCCACATCTGTTAGAGAGGGAATATTCCCATCTGATAGCCACATTTTGCCTCTGAAAACTAGTGGAGTTTCTATAAGCCAATAGGCTTAAAAGTTACTTCTGGTTGGATTAGACCCCATAAACCTTTGAACAGAAAATTATTTCATTATTTGCCATCAGACAAAATATAGTCACAGCTGCAAAGCATAACCTGTTTAAAGAAAAAAAAAATCTAATACCTTTGTTGTTGTCCATTCCTCCAACAGCATACAGTGTTCCAACTGTAGATTTTCTAGGTTTAGTCCTTGGACTTTGCATTAGAGTTCTTCTTTCTGGTAAAAGATGGTATTTCATAGCTTCCAGAATTAGCTTCTGACATTCCAAGTCATCCTTAAAAAGTGCATGATTTTCTAGGTCAGCCAATATCTGTGAATGACACAATCATGAATCAATAATGGTACAGTACTCCTGGATAAATAGTACTATGCAACGGGAAAGCCACCAGAAAATTAACAATATTGTTTACAAAAGTAACACTAAATGTATCATCTTGTTGCAGGCAAGATTCTGTCAAGCTTATTCATTTCAAAACCTTTTATACAAGAAATGGGCAATGCTTTGTGGATCATGAAAACACATTTAGAACAGTTACTTCCCCAAAGTACATGAGATATGGGAGGTATTTACTATTCAGAATTTTGGGAAACACTCTTGTACACCACAGCATGATAACTGGATAAATGTTGATTTTTAATGGCTCTCATTATAGGTAAAAACATTCATATTTAAATGATCACAAATATACTCATTAGTCAGCGTCCTTTGTTAACTTTCTATGGTATTTCACATAGTGGTTTACAGAAATGTACTCTAATTGTTTTCAAATGTATTATTTAGCTATTCATTTGAAAGTTTCTCATGGCTTTTCTGGATTATTTCTGCTTCAGCTGTGTATGTTAGCAGCAATCTGATTTCACACTGCAGACACAGATGAACACTTATACCACTTTCTGCTAAATTTACAGTAATAAAATGACTGCATCTCTTGAAACTGGCACAGGAGTTGTAATCAATATTCATGGGATATGGGTGCCTGATGAACTAGGTTGCCCAAATCAGTAAGTAAATTTAAAAAGAAATTATAGCATGGTAGGATCTGTAAATTTTAGAAGGGGAGACAATAAGTTGAACACTTGAAATATCTGTTGTCTGTCTTAATTATCTCCAAGGTATTTTTCACCATGATTATCTCAGAACCAAAAGATGCACTAGAAGAAGAAAAAATAGTTAATTGAGAATACAAGTAAACACAAGTAAACACAGGTAAAATCCAATTATTTGAATGTCTAAACACATAAACCTCTGATTATTGGAGAAATAGACAGAGGAAATTTGATTCCTATAAACACTTCAGATTTAGGGAATACAAACAATGCTAAGAAATCTGAAATTTGGATAATCCAGGTTTACCCTATATGTACTTGGTGCTTGCATATTACTGTTTGTGTGGATGGATTTTGTGGGCACCATTTAGGTACCTATTTCTAAATATATGAACTAATGTAATTTTACTAAACAGTTGTATAAAGGGTAAGTTTTGACTGTTTGGTCCGAGAGCGTTAGAAGTGTTGTAACCCTGGGCAATTGGTATATGGCCACAGAGAAGGTAACAAACTACTAAATCTTTGTAATTCATTTTATGTTTCCATTTATTGACAATGTCACTCAATGAATGAGTTTTAGGCAAGGAAAGCCTCACTACATACTCATTACTAATGTATGTTTTATTTTTACATATAGCAAGCTCCTGAGGCTGTATCAAATTATTCCCTTTTCACACACAAATACCCTGCTTGATATGTAAACACTTTTTAAAAAAAGTTGACTGTTATATGCTGTATATCACAGACATTTTCCTCTTGTCTTCTTTTTACCCTCTCAAAGAGTAGCAGAAACATATCAGTATATCAATGTTAAAAGCTAGTAATTTAGGGAGAACAGACTATTAAAATTCATTAGAAACAATGGATCGAGTACATAAAAAGAGCTCTGGGTAATAAAAATATTTATGCAAACAGGAACAGTAAGCTATTTTTTGTGGAAGATGATAATTTTAAAAGAATCAGAAAATCAAGAGGTCAGAACTCAAGGGAAATGAGAGGGAAAAAAAGGACACCGGACACATGTCTGTCTTTGAACTTCAGAAAAAGCAACACAAACTGCAAAAGGAAGCTGGAGTAATCATGTGAATGCAAATTTAATTTCTCTCCCTTTTAATAAAGAGAGAGCAGAAGAGTTCCACTGACTTTGGTAGGAAAGAAAACATATTTGTTCACCCTTTTAAACATATGAGGGAATCAGATAATTATAAATGGAGAGTGGGGGAGGAGAGTTTGGGAGAGATTTAGGCCTGGTCTACACTAACCCCCCAAGTCGAAGTAAGGTACGCAACTTCAGCTACGTGAATAACGTAGCTGAAGTCGACATACCTTACTTCGAACTTACCGCGGTTCAGACGCGGTCCACACGCGGCAGGCAGGCTCCTCCGTCGACTCCACGGTACTCCTCTCGTTGAGCTGGAGTACCGCAGTCGACGGCAAGCACTTCCTGGTTCGATTTATCGCGTCCAGACCAGACGCGATAAATCGAACCAGGAAGTTCGATTTCCAGCCGCCGAACTAGCGGCTAAGTATAGACCAGCCCTCAGTTTCCAGGGGCAGATCCTCAGCTCATGTAAATAAAAAACTGTGCCGGCTGAAAATCTGCCTCCATGATTCTGTTATTTTGATCCAGTTTGGGGGTCCCCACTACAGAAAGGATGTGGACAAATTGGAGAGAGTCCAGCAGAGGGCAATGAAAATGATTAGGGGGCTGGGGCACATGACTTATGAAGAGAGGCTTAGGGAACTGGGCGTATTTAGTCTGCAGAAGAGAAGAATTGAGGGGGTGATTTGATAGCAGCCTTCAACTACCTGAAAGGGGGGTTCCAAAGAGGATGGAGCTAGGTTGTTCTCAGTGGTGGCAGATGACAGAACAAGGAGCAATGGTCTCAAGTGGCAGTGGGGAAGGTTTAGGTTGGATATTAGGAAAAACTTTTTCACTAGGAGGGTGGTGAAGCACTGGAATGAGTTGCCTAGGGAGGTGGTGGAATCTCCATCCTTAGAGGTTTTTAAGGCCCGGCTTGACAAAGCCCTGTCTGGGATGATTTTGTTGGGGTTGGTCCTGCTTTGAGCAGGGGATTGGACTAAATGACCTCATGAGGTCTCTTCCAACCCTAATCTTCTATGATTCTATGATCTAAAAAGCAATAAAGGTATCTCCATAAAACCAGAGAAGGAACATATAATATGCATAGATTTTGGAAGTGAAAAATGTTACTCGGCTCATATTCTGCAAATTCATAATATCATACAGCAAACACACACAGGGCCGGCTTTAGGCCGATTTGCCCAATTCCCCCGAATCGGGCCCCACACCAGCGCCTAAGAGGGCCCCGCGCTGGCACATTTTTCAATTTTTACTCACCCGTCGGCGCTCCGGGTATTCGGCGGCATTACAGCGGCGGGTCCTTCACTCGCTCCGGGTCTTCGGAGGCATTTCGACGGCGGGTCCTTGAGTGCCGCCGAAGACCCGGAGCGAGTGAAGGACCCGCTGCCAAAATGCCGCCGAAGACCCGGAGTGCCACTGGGTGAGTACGAATCGGGCCCCGCACTTGATAAAGCCGGCCCTGACCATACACCACACAACAAAAACACTAACCCAGGAACTATCCTTGCAACAATGCCCATTTCCAAATCTGTCCACATATCTATTCAAGGAACACCATCATAGGACCTAATCACATCAGCCACACCATCAGAGGCTCGTTCACCTGCACATCTACCAATGTGATATATGCCATCATGTGCCAGCAATGCCCCTCTGCCATGTACATTGGCCAAACCGGACAGTCTACGCAAAAGAATAAATGGATACAAATCAAACGTCAAGAATTATAACATTCAAAAACCAGTCGGAGAACACTTCAAACTCCCTGGTCACTCAATTACAGACCTAAAAGTCTCAATTCTCCAACAACAAAACCTTCAAAAACAGACTCCAATGAGAAACTGCAGAATTGGAATTAATTTGCAAACTGGACAACATTAAATTAGGCTTGAATAAAGACTGGGCATGGATGGGTCATTACACAAAGTAAAAACTATTTCCCCTTGCTAATTTTCCCCTACTGTTACTCACACCTTCTTGTCAACTGCTGGAAATGGGCCATCCCGATTATCACTACAAAAGTTTTTTTTTCTCCTGCTGATAATAGCCCACCTTAACTGATTAGTCTCGTTATAGTTGGTATGGTAACACCCATTTTTTCATGTTCTCTGTGTATATATATCTTCCGACTGTATTTTCCACTGCATGCATCCGATGAAGTGGGTTTTAGCCCATGAAAGCTTATGCCCAAATAAATTTGTTAGTCTCTAAGACGAAACAAGGAGTCACAGCATACTCAGATCTAACTTGCCTCCCAGGTGAGCATATCTTTGTGATAAATGGTCCCTTACACCAAGAATCACGGCAATCTTCAGGTTACTCCCACTCTCAAAAGACCAGTCACTTTCCCCAGGTAAATTGCATATTAGATCTCACATCAAAGACAACACTTGTAGCTAAGCCTATAATAAACTATATACAGTTTTATTAATAGGAAAAGGAAACAAGGGTTATTTACAAGGTTAAAGCAGGTAAACACAGATATAGAAATGTAATAGAAACTTCTATAATAAGTATCAGAGGGGTAGCCGTGTTAGTCTGGATCTGTAAAAAGCAACAGAGAGTCCTGTGGCACCTTTAAGACTAACAGCTGTATTGGAGCATAAGCTTTCGTGGGTAAATGCCCACTTCGTCGGATGCATGTGGTATTCACCCATGAAAGCTTATGCTCCAATACATCTGTTAGTCTTAAAGGTGCCACAGGACTCTCTGTTGCTTTCTATAATAAGCAAGCCCTTGAGGTCTAACCCAAACTAAGCCGCTGGAGACCTCTTGCTTATGCCTAGAAAACCTTGACCCCTAGAGTCCAAGCAGCTTAGAGATAAACATATTTGGTGAGGTTTCTCTTCACCAGCTAGGGGGAAGATGCCACTCTGGGAAAGCAGGGACACTTCAAGACAGTCAGGGAAGGAAGGGGAGCTGTATTCTCCTTTACTTAAACCCCACACCTGTCCCTCTTATTAAGGTGAACATGTTCGAAAAGTAGACTGTGTGTTGTTCTCCTCATGAAAGAACCTGCATTTCAGGATTTTTTTCAATTATTTTTTCAATTATTAACGTGTATATTTTCTGAGGCTAGATATAATTGCAAGAGCAGCCAGCCTTTGAATACATATTGGCTATTTTTTATTCACATACCAAAAATAGGTTATAAACTA